GGGGGGGGAGGAAAGGAATCAAAAAACGATGGCTGTCAGTGTACTCCTAAGATGAATGAGGCAACTTTAGTATCATTGAGGCTATAGTCTAATAAGGAATTTTCTTGTTGCACTAGCAATATAATTAACTTGAACCGCTGTTATGCTTGACCCTGTCTTGTGCAGACAAAAGGTGTTTGTATGGCTGTCCGACCATCAGAGTTGGGGAACTGATCAGGCTTTGTGTGTGTGTGCAGGGTTACCCTTTGGCTGGACGGGTTTCCTGGAGCCAGCCAAACACTGTCCCCTTTACTTGCCTGCTTCATGTTGCAGTTTGCACTCAGCCTGATCATCTTACTGATTTGTTTCACAGGGCTATTCTGCACATAGCTGTACAGCTGAGGGGAATACAGGCTGTGACAAAATGGGAATAAATGGCCACAGTTTAGGATGAACAAGGATTTATTAAACCAGTTTTGCCATTGCATGACATGTCAGGTTTAATGCTGTGTACAATGCCTCTGAGTATGCCTTTGCACAAGATTATTAATCTTTGTGACAATGTTTTATCAGCTGCAGTATTTGTACCTTCCTGTAAGTAGTCCACTTCTTTTGTCTCTCATTCAGATATGCTTCCTTCAAAAGAGGAGAAGAGCAAGACTCCTCCAATGTTTCTGTGCATTAAAGTAGGCAAGCCCATGAGAAAGTCCTTTGCGTCTCAGAGCACCACCATGTCTCAACAGTACAGTAAAAAGATAAAGCAACCAGAGTACTGGTTTGCTGTTCCTCGGGAAAGGTAATCTGCAGTGCATAGCACGAAAACATGTTTGTCTCTTTGTTTTTTTAACTGTGTAGTGCTTTCTAGAGTTGAATCTGACTTTCCCTATGTGGTCCAAGGTGTGAAATGCAGCAAGGATGCTGAGATGAGGAGAAGGGTGCCTTTGTTTCATTGCATGCCAGAGAGAGAAAGCAGTGTTTGTTGCTGGTCTAAGATGTCTCCCAGCAGGAAGGAGAGAGGGATCAGGTGCCACTTGGAAGACGAAAAGAGCAATATACCTGCAGCTAACGTAGGATAAAAGCACTGGCCGTTGATCTGGGGTTTGGATCTAGTCTAGGAAGTGAGGCAAAGGGGAAAAAGGGCGCAGTGGCAAAACCCCTGGTCCTCCTTTTGCTAGAAGGGAGCTAAAGCAACTCCCCAGTCTGTTAATGAACCAAAATAGGGATATCAGTGATCAGTCTTCTGGTGAATTAGATACCAGGAAGGAAGAATCTGAACTGGTGATCAGTCTCAGAGGTGTCTCTTAAGATGTGGTCAGTTTTTTTCTTTTTTTAAATAATTTTTCAGAATATTTAATTTTATTTTCAAGTTTGTAGCATGTGTGTTGATTTAAGTGTTTGTTGTGAGTATTTTAGAAATGAGTGCTTTGAGCAGACCAGTAGTATGGAAGTTGCTGACCCAGGGGAGGAGGGGGAGAGATTTAATCCATCTGGAATGTGGCCATTGGGAGTGTAGCTGAAGATGGCTTTTGGTCCCAGTCTTTGGCTCCTTGGGGATTGCAAAAGGGTGAGTTCAGAAAATTCTAGGTTGAAGTGTGAGTAAATACTTCAAGGAGTTGGAGTGATGCTGTAATAGAACACAAGGTCAGTTACTGCTCTGGGGATAGTGTATCTGATGTTGAATACAGCTGTTGAGCTGAGCTGAGGTCATCTCTGATTGTTGCTCTGTACAACAGGTAAATCTATTAAGCTTCTTACTGCAAACTTGGAAAACAGCTTCTTTACTTGTCATTTTATGAGTAGAAATGTTCTGATTAGTGAAGGGACCTAATCCATATATAAACTGAAGTGTTGACAACTGGTTTATACTTAATTTTTTTAGAATGAGCAAAAAAGTAATTTCTGCAGGGAACAGTTGCAGCAGCACTTGGCTGTGCTGGCTGACAGGCCAGATCTTTGCTGTCGGAGCGCCTATTCAGATCTTGATCAAAATTAGTGCTGAATGTAGTATAAGATTGGGTCATTTTGGTGCTATTCATACATGCCTGTTTCAACACCACAGAGGTGCCTGAAAGATCACGTAGAACTTGGGGCAAAAATTAAATGCGTGACCCGCTCCTTCGTATTAATGCAAGACATGTCTTTGCCTAACAAGTCAGTGTTTTCTCCAAACTCAGATGTCTTCCCAAGGCAAAATGCATCGCATCCTACCAGCTGGTGATATTCTTGCTCCACTATTGCATAGTATATAATTACCAGCGTTGCATCTTGAGAGTGCTGTGGACAGTAGATAATTTGGGATAGCTTTGCAAAGTATTTTTAATACAATGTATCAAAGTAATTCATGAAGTTTAAAATTCAAAATGCAATGTATATTCATGTATGAAAATATCACGAATACCACTCTCATCTCTTTAGCCATAAAGCAGCATAAATAAAACACTTTCTGTCCAGTGCAGTCACAGTAGCTTGTGCAGCATCTCAATGTTTCATAGTAATTAAAATTAAAAAAAATAGTGTGCATGTCTATAAACCCTGTGTAAATTGACTCTTCCACTGTTTTGCATTTAATGACATTTTTCCATTATCTCTTAGTGTTTGCTATTAAAACAGCTTCTGTCATCAGTTGCGAAAATGGCTCCGTTGTCAGCCTGGGCCCCGTCACCCGCCACTCCCAGAAGGGCTGTGCTTCCATCTGCAGCCTGCGGCTGCTTCGTGGCCTTGGCAGGCTGCGGGATAGCTGCATGGGGTGGGGGGACACTCACCTTTTAAAACTTTTCTTTTTTTTTTTTTTTTTTCTTTAATGGAAGCCTCTGGAAACGTTAATAAAGAGAGAAAACTGTTAGTCTGATACTCTCTACAAAGGGTGTTGTTAATTTTTAAGTCTCATTTGCCTTTTGCGGCTGTTCTAGGTATTCTCTCTTCCTACGTGGCTTCCCAGGCACCGAGAGTGTCCTGGCGTGCATCGCCCCGTGACTTGCACAGCACAGCTGTGTTAATCAGTGACTCCAGGGCTGCGCTGCGCCCTGATCACAGAGGTGCTCGCCTTGACACGTAACGGGGGAGATGGACATCTCAAGTTGCCTTATATACAGATTACTCAGGCTAGGGCAGCTTCTTGTCGGGCTCAGCTGAGCAGAGAGGCACCCATGCTTTTGGGCACTAATAGAGAGATTGATTCTTCTGCTGAGAAGTCTTGCAATGGGTATAGCTTACAGTATTAGGGGGTAAGTCTATGCATGCTCTTACTATATGGATTTGTGTTTAAGGATATTTAAATGGCGTGTTAATTTTCTACCCTAGTGGATTTTGAGTAGTAGTAGGTCAGTAATTCCATCACTCACGGATATCCTCAAGGTCTTGCAGAGAAAGATGCCTGGTACTGGGACGGAGATAGTAATGCAGAATTTTTTTGTTTATAAGCATGTGTCCTAAAAAATAATTTCCTCATTTTAGTAGTGACTAGTTCCTCAGTCAAGAAGTAAATTTCATTGATTGTCTATAATATGAATTTGGCAGACAGGTTTGGTTTATGAATGTATATGTTGATGCAATAAGACATTGCACTGAGATCATGCTGCTAAGAGGGGATCAGCTTTTTTTGAAATTTCTTTTCATGAAAGCCAGGCAGATTTTCAAGGAGGAAAATAGCAGGGATGGAGCCCTGCTTTTCTTTTTCAGTCATAGCTTCCTGCCCTATTGATTTTTTTGGTTTGGGGAGTTGGGTGAATTTTGGTTTGGTTTTTGTTATTGTTTCTGTGGGAGGTTCCTTTTGTAGAACAAGGTGTTGCTTGGTTGTGACTCCTGTTAGTATCTAGCACACGATACCCTGTGGTTAGTAGGGTTGAAGTTGAGATCTGGAAGAACTTGCAGCACGACTAGCTGGACTTAATACCTACGTGATGCTTCTGTGCACTTTGCATAAAGGGGCAAGGATTGAGATGGTGCTGATGCTGAAGGATCACTCTCCCATGCTGCCATTAATGGAATAAAAGCATAAAGCTTAGATTTAGACTCCTTTTGAATTAGCCTAATACAAATAGAGTACTGTTAGGCTCCTGACAAATAAGGTATCAGACTATACAGATGAAACCTATGAAAACCTGTTTGTATCTATAGCTTCATATCTCATAATGAGGGCTTATATAAGCTCATATAAGCATACGAGGGCTTACAATACCTTATCGCTCATAAGATTCATGAAGGATCATCCTCTAGTCAGGCATGTTTTTAACAAAGTAGTAGGACTCCTCTGAATTAATTCCTGTTTCTAGGCCAGGAGCTGTGGTTGGACTTAGAGCTTCGTACACATGATAAGTGTACTTAGTGTACATGTATCACAGGATGCACAAACCTTCCCCCCCTACCCAAACACACAAATTTGGAAGTAGCCCCCCTCCTACATGTGACTGACCTGAAGACATTAATTTATGGAAAACTGGTTTGTCTCTGCCGGCAAAGTTGTCAGATATTGTTGCCATATCAGCAGAAATGGTGGTGGTGATCTCAATTTGGGACCTCCTGAATTAAAGTACATCTTTTAGAAGGAAAAACATTCACAGTTCCCCCTCAAGAATCAACTGTAATTTGACAAGTTGTCTAGTGTGTTTTATTGAACTGCCTTTGCTCTTTTTCAGTGCATACCTGCACTGTATACTGTATATATATACTGTATACCTACTTTAATTTTTCTGGCTTCCGGTCCCTGGTTGTGGCTGTATCTGTATTAGTAGGATTCAGTTCCTCTTAATGTCAGCTATCACAGAGTATTGCTCCTGTAAGCTAAATAACTTTGGCTCTCACTGTACAGCAGTAGGCTTTGCATCTCTCTCAGCTGCAACACTTGAGCATGACTTGTGAATGGTCCAGCAGAGATGAGCAGAGTCTTCCAGCAGTGGTCACCAAAGTGCCAAACACCAAACTAAACACAGTCTCATTCCTTCTGCTGAATGTTACTTTCCTGCTACGTTCAAGGATTGCTCCAAGTATTGTGGCGGTGCGGAGCTCTGGCTCTAAAATTCAGAGCTGTTACCCAAGTCTCTAGGGTCCTTCTGCCAAGGGCAAAGTACCGTCCTGCAAGCACAGCCTCTGCTCACTGTTCTTCAGTGTGTGCTCCTCTGTTCAGATGCATCCACGCGCACAGCTGATTGTGCCCAGTTTACTAAGCAATGCACTAGCATAGTACTCCACCAAGCTTTTGTCTTATATTAATTTTATCACTTTGCTGTCATGGTCTTTAAGTCATGTTTTGTACTCTCTGAAATTAGTTTTTTACTGAATTTATATCCTTTGCTATTAACTTTTCTTTTTATATTTGGTTTGTGCCCTCTGTGTGTTTGTTACTATGAACTTGAGGGTTACCTCTTTAATCAGTGTTCCATCTTTCATTTTTGATTTCTGTCTCCTGGTTTGTTTTTTGTTTGGGGTTTTTTGTGTTGTTTTTTGTTTTGTTTGTGTGGGGGGGTTTTGGGGTTTTTTTTGTTTTTAAGTTTTCTGTTATCTTTTCCCTTTGAACACTTTCTTTTTGGAGTGATTAACTTCAGGTTTCAGAAGTTGTAAATTTCCAAGTACTGTATTATTTATTGACATTTCTCTGTTGGTGCATGACACACTCATAAGCATGTGATCACCAAAACAGCTATTGAGTTCTAGGATAAATTTCCTCACAGCTGTCGGGCTGGCTGTAAGAGAGTTCCTCAAGCAGTGGTTTTTCAATTTAAAAATTGTCTCAATTTTAAAAAATTTGGTAGCTTGGAAATACCACCATAATATAATGTTACCATTTCATTAACAGAGAATGACTTTTCAGAATGACCTCATTTCTACAATCATTTATTTCTCATTTTATGCTGCTTCTTCTTAAATCTGGAGCATCTGGATTTATTTAGCATCTGTCCATGGTAGAGGAAAACTTAGTTATGTACTACTTAGATAAACTGAGCATATACAGGTCCATGGGGCCTGACAGGAAATATCCTGAGAGTACTGAGGAAGCTGGTTGATGTTACTGGAAGACTGCTTTCTATCATCCTTTGAAAGGTTATGATCACTGGGAGAGGTCCTTAATAATTGGAAAGACAAATGCTGCAGCCATCCTCAGAAAAATCAAGGAGGATCTATGGGAGCGCAGGGCAGTCAGCCTCACCTCAGTCACTGGGAAGATTATGAAGCATGTCGTTACGGATGCCATTTCCAGGCACATGGAAGGCAGGAAGTGGTCAGGAACAGCTATCACAGATTTAGGAAGGGCAAATTGTTTTTTTTAATAACCAGATAACTTTTCTGGCTGAGATGGCTAGCTCTGTGAATAAGGAGAGAGCAACGAATGTTGTTTTACCATAACCTTAGTAAGGCTTTCAGCACAATCTCACATAGTATCCTTATAGCCAAATTAGAGGGATGTGCTGTGGGCAAGTAGACTATCAGGTAGGTGAAAAAAACTGACTGGACCATTGGGCTCAAAGGGTTGATAGCTAGTCTGAGTGGCAGCCAGGTGCAAGTGGTATTCCTTGGGGACCGGTACTGTTTAATGTCTTTATCAAGGACACGGATGATGAGACAGAATGTACCTTTGTCATCTTGTGGGATGACACCAAATTTGGGGTGTGTTCATACACTGGAGGGCAGGGCTGCTATTCAGAAGGACCTCAACACAGAGGAATGAGTTGACAGAAATGTCAGGAAGTTTAGAAAAGGCAAATGCAAAGTTGTGCACCTGGGTGCAGTCTGAGGATAGGGGGCCTGGGGAGCAGCTCTGCAGAAAAGGAGCTGGGGAAGGTGAGAGAAAATGTAAGTCAATGGTGTAATGACAGTTTCACTTCTTGCTGGCCTGCAAGGAAAAGCATAGCCAACAGCTTGGGGGAAGTGGTTATTCCCCTCTTCCTTTTGCATATGTGGTTAAAGGAAGGCGGGGGAGAGGGGAAATAGGATGGTTCCAGACCCTTCTCAGATCACATGCTGCATGCACTGGAGGAAATTGTGATTAGATAAAGAGAAGAAAACATGAGACTGATTATGCTTGGAACAGGTTGCATGGAGAGGTTGTGGAATCTCGGTTGGAGATTTTCAAAACGGCAAATGGACAAGACTGAGCAACCTGCTGTCACTTGGAAGTTAGCTCTACTATAAACAGAAGTTGGACTAGATGATCTCCAGAGGTGCCCTACAATGTAAATTTGTTCTGCGATTCTGAGATGAGAATATTCTGCTCTCTTCCACCCACCTGCACAAATGTGCTTTCAGACTGATTTAAGCCAGACAGCAGCAACCGCTGTTTTTATTGTTCTTTCATAGGGATTTGTAAGAGTTAAGTAGTTAGCTTTTGCAGACTAGGACTACTGCACATAAAATACACAATGGTCAAGTTAAATGTTTCTTTCAGTTAAAACTCACATTAATTAGCAAAGAGATGATCATACTGCTCTTTCTGAGGCCTCTGTGAGCAAGTGAAGAGGAACGAGACATGCTGAGTGGCACCTGTTGGTGTGGGGAAAACTGCTGTAGTTACAAGAAAATTTCTTGACTAAAATGAGATGATACGGCTTTTAGAAGTGTCTTCCATAGTTCTCTATTTTTAGATCTATGCAAACTTGTAAGCAATCACTCGCAAAGAAGGGGGAAACACTTGGCAATGGCAGTGTGACCTTCTTTTAGCTTTTTGCAGGCAATTATTGGGGAGGACTATCCTGAGGTCTGATTGTTTGCGCAGTACTGCCTTGATCTCTTTTGTGTGTGTTGCTGCAGAGGAATGAACAGTAGCTGAAATTTTTATTTTGATATCAACATTAGTTACCTTACTTGTTCTTGATGAAGAGAGGCTGCTAATGCCTCAGGAACTAGTGTTGCTTGTTGGCAAATTTAGGACAATTATACTAGAGCTGTGTTTGGTTGTATCTTAGAAATGTTTCACAGATGCAGTTCCTGTTTGATAACAAAAATGTAAATTCAGCTAGGTGATTTGTTAGCCATGCACCTCTGAAGCATTTGTGAACGTGCAAAGGAGAAGAGAAGAAACTGATGGCAATGCTATTTTTTCTGTTGTCATGCTTAGAAGGACATTTTAGTGATGCAGCAAAGTCAATCCTTTATTCTTCCTGAGGGTAGTGGAAATTGGTTTCAAGATATTTTTCTCCAAAGTGAGTCAAGCCTCCTCCTGCCAATATCTCACTTTGACTATGAATTAATGTAGCTATCATGAGCAGACACCAATTTCACGGCTGTCAGTTTATGCAGTTAGAACTGACATCAGCCTTTAGCCCTTACTGGTAGGAGTGTAGAACAAACAACGTAGACTTGATTGGAAAAATCTGTGGAATAAAATATCTGACCCTGAACAGAATCCAACACTGCTGAAATGGTGTTTTAAAGCTATTAGTACATATACTCTAAACCCAAATAACTTGAAATACAGGGGGAAAATGTCTAGGTTTCTCTAAGATTTTTAACTGTTCTGTATTGATCAAGGAACTGCTGGTAAAAACTTTCTGGTCAATAACTGGAGAAAGATCCAGTGTTGTAAGTACTTAACCATCTTTCTATCTGCCCTCTTCAATTACTTCCCCCCCACCCTGGCAGTTCAGTTTCTTGTACAGTGCATCCGCTATCGTGTTTCTGTTTCAGATTGCATGTGTTCATTTTAATTTTAATCCTTAATACTTATCTGGGTTAGAGGAATATACTACATAAATTCCTTCTTTAGAAATTGTTTCACTGTTACTTATGGATGTTGTCAAAGAGCATCTCTTTCAAGAAAGTGATTGAGAACTGACTACACTTGTGGAAGTGCATACTCTGCTGGCACTGTATCATTAGCAAAGTTGTCAGTAACTGCTTATTTTTATTATGCTAACAGAATGAATTGTTTTGTGGTTAGTCTCTGTAACTTTTAGAGGGCAGCTAGAAATGTGGTGCGGACTTTACTGGTGATATCTTATGGCTTGGTTTATGCAGGAGGTTAAACTAAATAATTAAACTGACTTTTTAGTGGGCTTAACTTTTGTGAGCATGATCTAATGCCAAATAATTTGTCATCTTAATATGAATTTTATGGGACTGGACAAGACATTTAGTTTTTTGATGATGCTTTGGCTGTCTATGTATGTTGCAAAGGGAGGAAAAAAATACTGTGGGGATGGAAAGCAGAGAAACCTTGAAATGCTTCAGGCTGCCAGGTGGAAGGAGCTATTGCCTTGTGTGGTACACAAGGGTGGAAGTACACAGGTATCCTATTTTTATGGTTGTCTCTCCTTTGTCATTGGGCAAAACCTGAAACAGTGCTGTGTTCATGGATGCCTGCACAATGGTTGTCTCCTCTTCTTCTGTTTACAGGGTGGATCACTTGTATACATTTTTTGTTCAGTGGTCACCAGAGATATACGGGAAGGATGCCAAGGAGCAAGGTTTTGTTGTGGTAGAAAAGGAGGAGCTTGACATGATAGACAACTTCTTCAGTGAGCCTACAACTAAAAGCTGGGAGGTGAGTGCTTTCTGCCACTATATGAAGCACATGCATATCAAGTGTGCATCCCCTAATAAGAATCTCAGCACTTGCTCTTTTGATAATTTTTATGGTGTTTCTTTATGATGCTTGCCGCTTCATATGGAAGTCTCCTCAAGGCTTGTATCTGCCTGACAAATGTACTTGTATTCCTTCAGTCGTCCTTTATTCTCTCCCTAGAAAGAGCAGGAAAACAACTGGGAGCTCTGTGGCGTGCAACCACCAGAAGTTGTGTAAATATTTTGGTTATGTGATGTTAGCCTTTCCCTAAATTATACAGATGTATGTTGTCAGTGTTGCTAAATTCTTGTTGTATTTATATGCTACAAATAAAACCTCCAAAGTGGAATACGTACCCATAAACACCAACAGGCTCCCCTGTGTGCTGGCTGAAATGGATTGGTATGTGATGTTGTGGTGTACCCTTGCTTCTCAGGTGCACGCAGCAATACTGTTTGAATATTGGTTGTAAGATGGATAGGTTTTGGACTGAGGCTTTGGCTTTTTCATATGGGGGCTTTTGCAATCTGTTTTAACTACTTGTCATGCCTGTGTTTGTTATCTGTCTGTCTCTCGTGCATACAAAGCCTAGTGTCTAAGTGAAATAAGCTTGCACGCATTTTTAATGATATTTCTGAATGCTGAAGCACTTGCTGTGCTAAGGATATGGGTTAAATTGAAAAACACGTAAATCCCTAAGTGGCAAATACCTTGATGGTGATTTAAAAAGTGATCTGATTATTTGTCTTAAACTTGTATAAACTTGTTTTTAAAATTCTGCTGCCCTTTTTTTTTTTTAAGCATTTCTATCTTCAAAGTATGTTGTTCTGTTCAGAAATGGAGCTCGGGAGTGAGGCTTTTGATTTGAAATGTAGCAACATGACCTCTAACCCCAAATAGCTTTTATTTTTTACAGTTTTGTAGTTTCTTAATGTTGATGCTTAATGTGAACTGCAAGTTGGAAAAAAAAAATGTTCATTGCTTGTTTTGCTCAGAGCTGAGTGCAGTCATATATTGCACTAGATTTCACTGTTCAGTTGTCATTTGCATGCCATTTCCGTAACACCAAAATTAAGTAGGACAGAGGTGGGAAGATCTGGCCACACTGGGAGCTTTTCTCTCCTTGCTTTATTCAAATATGTATTGGGGAAAAAAATTAGCTGGTTTTGTAAAGGTGTGTCTCTCTTATTTGTAATATATTCAGCTTTACAAATTTAAGGTAGCTCTGCCAGGAAGTCTCTATTGGAAGTCCAAATTTGGGCATGATTACTGTGGAAGTTTCACTTTTCCGTGTGGGGAAACAGAAAGTGTGATTGTAGAGAAGCATATAAGAAATTTTATCACAGCATGCCACAGGCAGTAGCCGTCTGTCATGCTTGTGGGCAAGAGCTCTTGCCACTAGAGCAGGGAAGTGTAGTGGGTACTGCAAAATAAACTGTAGATGATGAAAGGGAAACAAATGTCTTTGAATATTCGAATTCTTTACTGTGCCAGACCTGACCAGGAGGAACCTTTTGTGGAGGTATGTTGAACTGTGTTCCTGTTTGAACAACGTGGATTTGATATAGTGCTTCTGTCCCAGCAAAAAACGTGCTCTGTACTCAGATGAATTTTAACAGGGTATTTCCACCCCAGGTAGCTTGCTTTCTCAGTGCTGTAAAAACTTTAAAAGACTCTGTAGATCCAGTTTCTGTAGTGGTTGATTCTTTTAATCTGTGTTTGCTTTTGTGTGATCTGTAAATAACTAATCTTGCAGATCCCTTTTTTGCAGTTGTTTACTCTGAACTTCATTCAAATGTGTGCCTCAGTTACAGACTGAATAGGTATCTAGGTATCTATGCAGTGAAGAGGGGGGCTTGCCTGTCTTTGGAGTTGATTTGCAATTTACACCTCTCAGTATATTTTCTGTGGTTGCCTATGTCTGTGAGTTTGGTTGCATTTTGCTACAGATACCTGTTGCTGGTTGACTTACTGTGATACTATTTCTCCCCCTGTGATCCCTGCTCCCAGGGGAAGGCTATTTCTAGAAAATAGTCTTTGAAAGAGGAGTTGGGTACTTCTGATACAAGATGAAAAAGGTGTTCATTTAAAAAAAAAAAAAAAAAAAAAAGTAAAATAAAATAATGGCCTGGGAGATGAGGAGGGAAGGAAAACCATTCAGGAGGTGTAAAAAGAACAAGGATAAAAGCAGAAAGTAAATTTTCCTGTAGTAGTTTGTTGGGTTTTTTTAATTTAATCTTAATTTTGCAGTGCAAACCTTCCCAAAATTGGCCATATGAAAAATTTTCCAGCACAGGATTCCCTCCAGTCTCAGAAGACTGAGGATGAGATTTTGCTGAGGCTGGGCTGGAGGAGCAGGCTGCA